CTCAAAGTATGAGGAACGCTTCCAGGTTAAAATCAAGGAAAACTATTTGAATAATTATTTAAAAGTGATTGTAGGATTCGCAAGGCCGAGAAAGCGTTGTAGTTACTAGTTAGTGATATTATTTTAATTTTCAGATATTCGTTGTTGTTAACTTTTTATTTTTCCCGACTAATATGCCGTTTCATTTGGTGTTGAACCTTAAATGCATAATTTGTGTATCTGCCTTTGTTTAAGCAATACTGTCGTGCATTCTTTGCGACATTTTCGTTCCCTTTGTCGATCAGGAATTGGTGAAATCATGCGGTTGTTTTCTTTTATTATACAATTTATTAAAAATTCAAGTATTGTTTAAATTGCATAGAAATGGTCTGAGAAGAATGGTCTTAGAAGTTACCGTTTTTTCATGAACTGGATATTGCAGGTTTGGTTCCCTTGTTGGGCATCGATGTATGGGAGCATGCCTATTATCTGCAGTACAAGAATGTTCGCGCTGACTATGTCAAAGAGATCTGGAAGATTGTCAACTGGAAGGATGTCGCTGAGCGGTTCGGACAGGCCGCCGCTGGCAAATAATTCTATCGTGGTGTTGCATTTCCAGCGTTTGTTTGAAGTGGTTTAGACCGATCGGTTGGCACTTGCTTAGTTAAATACATAGTACTTTCTGTTCCACATTATGAATGCATGAAACATGTTTGGCACCTGCTAAATAGCACTGCACCTTTTGGGAGGATACCTAGATTCTTCGTACAGGCCGCCGCTAGCAATAACTGCTTTGTCTTCAATGGGCAATTTCATCCTCTTTTAAAATGAAACCGCTCTGATTCACAGAGGCTTTGATACCCATTTTTTTTCGACATTCTGATTGTAGAAATAAATTACGTTCGTCAGATGTGAATATAGCTGCACCTTTTTATGCGTTCCTAGAGTAGTTCTATCGAAGATTTTCGAATATTTCGGTTGCTGATTGCAATTGATATTATTAATTTATTATTAATTATAGATGCGCGTACTTGTACAAGCCCGTCCAACAATTCTGTGACCGCTGTAAGCGGGAATTTAAAGAAACGTGGGCTTGAGCCATTTAATGTGCTTCGACACGTCACGCCACATGAGTCTGCGTACTCAACGTAAATAAGCAATACCTGATGATTATTAATACCTGATAATATTAACTGTGGTGATGGTTTTGTCGGTGATTAATTGTGATCTATTATATTATTATTGGTTAAATATTGATAAATATATCTGCCACTACACTACGATGCGTATTTGCATTACTGTGCGCGGTTTATGTGCGCTGCGCTTACAGCGGTCAAAGAATTGTTGGACGGGCTTGTATGTGCGGTATGATGTATCTGTACTACCGAATACCGACTACTACCTTACGTCATGATGGATTAATTTTTCCTTATGCTTTGAATACTTCTGTAAATTATTTGAATCAGACCGGACTTCACGAACCGACAAGCGTCTGGAACTTAACTGGATAGTGGGAAGGCATTCCCTTTTCTGCATGCAGTCAGCGCGTTTCAGCTATTATTAATTTCATATTTATTGAATTTTTACAGCTCTAGCAATCGGCAGCAAACAAAATTAATATTAATAAGTTGTTAAAGCAAACTGAATCATTACTAATTTGACCCTGTTGCGTCACGTACGTACGTACGTACTGTACCGGCGCACTGTGCTGCGGCCACGGTCAACGGCTCAATGCTATTAAATCGAGTCACTTGCTAGTGCCAGATTGCCAACTGAGCCTGGACTGTGAGCAGACTGGAGAGCTTGCTCCCGAACGATGACATAAGCTTTTTTACCTCTTTCATCTTTGCGATTCGTTGTTATTGGGAAGTTAATTGTTTCAGAGAAAACTGTAGTAATTTCGAATGTTTACATGACTAAAATTCCCAACACGAGTCTTCCGTATCCGCTTCGGAGGTAGATGCACAGTGGTGCTGTACATTTTCTACAACAAAACTGCGCGCTACAGCGATTGCGTTCCGTTGAGCGGACCCACGATTCATTGGAGTGTACAGTGGACTTCAAATCTGCGCTGCATTATTATTTGTCCCGCTTCTTCAGAGCTATCGGACGCTCAAGCTATGCATTCGGAAGTGATTGTTATGTCGTTTTTGCCACCAGGAAGTGCTCCGGCTGTCAATCGCGCTGCAAGCGGTGGCTCCACGCTGTTTGAGTTTGGGAGATGAATGCCGCGCACTTCAGTAAGAAGTTCATTGTCAAATTCTATTATCCTCTTTCTCAGTGGAAATCCCACCATTTGTGCGGAATATCAAGTGAGCATTAACTGCTTGGTAAGTCTCTGAGTAAAAATTGTAAGGAGAATAATACTAATAACATGGATATGGTAATTTAAAATTTTAAATTTTTTCCTGTTATTTCTATCTGGTAAGTATTTCTGTCTGAGCTACCTGCCCTGGTTACATATGGTCGGGGGCTATTCAAATATTATGCAACATGAATTTCCCGTTTATTTTCTCCATCCCGCACCCTTGTATGGCCATTTAATCCTATGTGCCGTCAACACCACTAAGACTCACCCCCAGATATTATTACGGTAAAGATATTTTTAAATGTGAACATCTCTTGCGTATTCTGACAAGTGCTCTCTACCTGTGTGTTTCTAATTTAGATTAAATTAACGTGTAATAAAGAAAAAAGTAAATTATCTGAGGATTTCCACAGTGAATGATGACGAGATGGTTAGTGACTCACGGGGAAAACCCGTCTAGCTCGACTTAATTCAGCGGTGTAAAATGATTGAATCATTTCGCTCAGGCGTTCAGCAGCTAATCTGGAATTCTGGAACAAAGATATCTTATCAAAATTAGTTCAACGTACTGGCTAAAATACTTGAAGATGCTTTATATAATTATGGTCATATCGGTAAATAATGAAAACTGTGTAACGACTTCTACGACGTATACAGTGCATAGTTCCATTGGTGTTTTAATTTTCAAGCTAAGCGACGAAGTACACCTCGACTGTCTTGCTACTGTTGTAATTAACATATAACATGACATCAGTAAACGTGGTAGATATAACTTTGCTGGTCATGGCCATAGCACTCCTGTTAGGATTGTTTGCGGCATTGTTTTTCTGCAAGTACTGCAACAAACGCACCGGGACATCGTCTGCATCCGGTGGCACTCCTGTCGGCAGCAACACTCATGTTCAGTTCACCGCCACGGATCCATCCCGATTACATTCTTCCTGAGCGCAGTGCGGCGTTCCATCACGTTCACGATGCCGGATTAGACCGGTCGGTGCATCGGTTCCGATCGACTAGCTTATTCGTGTCCATTCTCCTTCCGCTTCGAGAATAGCCTTTTGAAATACATTGGAGCCAAGCTGCCGTTGTCCTTATCCAGCGGAATGCATTCAATCTGCATATGCGGATGCGACTTAAGACGCGTAGCGGTTTCCATGAATACAATCCATTTGTTCTTCGCGAACATACGGCAGACAGCTGAACGGAACTTCTGCATCTTCCAAACATCTTCATCCAATCATATTCATCAAAGTGCGAAACGGACATACATGTTGTATGATCCCGTGATCCTGAGCCAGGGCGACAGAGCTGGTGGTTGTCACAGATCCACCGTTACTGGTAGGCCGCCTACCAGTACTTTGTAGATTTTATATAATTAAATTACACCTGATTTTTTATCGAATCTCCGGCCTCCTCGACAAATGAAACTGTTTAACTCAACGCCGTCAACCGGTCTATGTAATAAGTAAAGGAAAGGTAGGCCGCCTACCGGAAATTGTTCCAGTAAAAGTGTATACTACTACTAATAGTAATCACGTTTGTTGTTGTTAATAATAAAATCACTGGTCTAGAGAATCATTATTGGTAGGCCGCCTACCAATAATTGTTTCAATACCCACTTATGTATACTATCTGCATACCTTAATAAGAAATATAGCAGTTTGATTCAGTAAGAGTTTCGATAGGTTGCCCGGTGTGCCCACAGAACGTTTTAATAATTTAAAGGATGAACTGCATCAACACTGAGCGCTACCGTAGGAAATGTACGCATCTGTATATATATATATATATATCAGTCGGAACGATGAATTTGTGCTGTATTGTAAATAATAATGGCTTTTTTTTGTACATGTAGAACTACTTTACAGATGCTGTTTACTGCATTGCAGACAATGAATCATGCACACTTTATAGTCGGCGTTGGCACAATTGGGACCGGAGACTCGTTTTTTCACGGCCATCAGTCATTTGAACTGATTTCAGCGGCAAATGCATGCAGTATAGTGCTCATCTTGTGTTCGACAGATCCTCCGACATAAGTGATCCTGTTCCGGGTTGAAGTGTGTTTGGCAAGCAGATGATTTTGTGTCCTCTGGTATAAGCGGTTTATTTTCACTTTGACATTGGTGAAGATTTGGGCGGTTGCGTATGATGATGTGGAGTGACAACGGAGTACTGCGTACGATTTTATATTATTTGGAAGAAAATGTGGTAAAATTGAAATTAATCTTCCGTCTATGTACTGGCGGCATTCTATTATATGAATTTGATATTTTTTTCATGATCAATAAAGGTCCATAACGTCTGCATACACTTTTTCATCACCTTACAAAATCAGGGTTTGATTTCACGCAATACAAGGTTTGCTTGTTCAAAAGTGTGCACTGTCCATTAATAATTAAAATGTTCATCAAGTAAAAGCAATAAAGGCGCTTAATCAAAGCAGGAAAAATTAACTAATGAATCGCGCTTGGCCCTTTCGCGCCTTTACTCATTCTACGCATAGAAAACCCTGATGGGGCTGTCCGAATTCACATATCACTCGGCCTGTACAAACTGGAACCGATAATACCTAACCGGAGCTGCATAATCCTGCCGTTCCGGTAGCCAACTAATGGAAAGCGCTTTGGATTGGACACGGACATCGGATGCTCGCTGTATTTGCGCTTTCACCGGCAATTCAATGCTGGCCTCCATCCCACCGATGTATTAGCCGCTAATGTGACCATGTAAGAACTCCGTGGTAGCAGTTTATGTACAGGAAGAATTTAATCCTGGAGACAAGAATACTGGTGCACTGTCGACAACTAATTCCTCTCGCCGGTATGAATCTCGATATACGTCTGTATATCACATGCATAAATTTACTGTTAATACACTTTGTTGATAATACTTGTGGTAGGCGGCCTACCACAAAATTAATAAGACACTGCATGCGCTCTGTCATTATGATTAGCGTCTTGATGATCAATATGGATGTAGCAATAATCCCATATAAATAATCTGGGCAAAACATGCGAAAGGATTATTGTATGTATCAAAGAAATTGTAAAGAAATCAAATACTAAATGTAAACAAAAAAGTAACCTACACGTATGGATGTATTGGCACATTACTTCAAAATTATCAATCCAAACAAACAGAAAATTTTTTCATTAAGATTTTAGCCCGGCATTTTGCCGTTAGCGATACTGCAACCACCACTCGTTCGGCGACCAGAAAACAGACGTTATTAAAATATATTTACTGGTGGCAAAGTGGTGGCAATCAGTATTAGTACAAATACTAATTTGTTGTAAGTACTAGTACTGTCTTGTGTCTGTGTTATTAAATGCAATATTTAATACCATTTCTACACTGTCCGTAATCATTAATTTTAAAATCTTCGTATCGATAGTGTGCAGCTATTTTTACTGTTTCGTGTTACAAACATGGTCTTAGTTCAGGACAAGAGCGAACAGTTCCGAATTGAGGATCCGAAGATACGATCCCCAGTACACCCACATCTATCATGAGCGTCTGGCGACGCTGCGACCTCGCTTGACGGCCGTTTCAGAAGAAAAATGGGGTAATTTGCTTTTATAGGGTTTGCAGATGATTTCCACCTTACCTTCTTGTATCTGTTTTCCGATATAGCGATGGTTTTATGCAGTTGTTCTTGATCTTTAGGTGCAGCTTATAGAGTTTGTACAACAGACGATCTGGTGGAGAACGAAACAGTCTGCCTGATCGGAACTCTGTACAAGGAAATGGAACGAAAGCCCAATATTCTACGTCAAATGCGCCGTGACACTGACATACCGCCAGAGCCTATCCCACCTCGATATACCAGTGACACCGATACTCTGTTCCTGGAAGATGAATCACAGCGGATTCGACTGAATGGACAACTTGATCCGCATCAGCTAGTTACGGGAATCATCATGGCGTTGGTTGGTCATGTGAACGCTGCTGGAGTGTTTGTCGTACAAGATCAATGTTTTCCCACCCTGCAAAGTCGTAACGTGATCTCTAAATGGCGCCTTTCATCAGCATTTTTATTGCAGCCGGCTTTCGTGCTGATCCGCGATCGACAGGTTGTGCACGCAGTCGGCGTTCCGGAGGGTGGAGATATTGGTTCAGATATGTCGCAGGCTTTGGGAGCGCCTCTTAAACTCTACGCTGAAAAAAAACATCTCGGGAAAGGTAAATGGCGGCAGACATTTCGAATGCATGAGAATTCTTTCGGCAGATTTTTATTCTGGATTTGTTGACATGTTTGGTCATTGCAGATTCGTATGATCCCGAGCCGGACGAGAATCAGCTTCTTTTGTTCAGCATGCGATTCTGCCCGTACGCGGAGCGAGCTAGGCTGATGCTGAACCTTAAGAAAGTCCAGTAAGTGCGCGCTTGCCTTCCGCCTTTTTTTCGTTTTAAATTGTCTTATGGCAGCCGCCCTAACCGTGAAATTGTGGTGTTTGCAAGGTCACCCTTTGTTTTCGTAGCCTTACCGTTTACAGTTTTTACGCGTAGTTTTAAAACTTTAAGTCGCACTGTCGGAAACCATTAAATCTGGCATTTTGTATATTATATGTTTTCTTTCTGTAATTAATTATTTTAGTTTTGCAGTCTAACAATTCAAACTACGAGAATTAGAATTTACCTTTTTGTTTGTTGTGGGTTAGATGATTAAATCTGTTTTGGAATTTTTCCATTTCGCAAAAAAAGTGCAATCAAACCACAGCGAAGTGTCAAAGCATTTATTAGAGATCGCAGTTTATATAGCACATATCATCGAATGCTGGCGATTGTTTCCGAAAAATTACAAAATCATTTTGCAAAATATAATATTTCGATGCTCCGTTCTTGAAGAGTGACATTCCAGTGCTGTAAGTGTGTGCATCCGTTGGTGTTTGAGTACTCTAGGGATTTTTGGCAGAGTGCATGACGAAATTTATGCTTATCATTAGCCGTGTGTTAATTTTTGGTAATTAATATTGGATGCCGAATGGTAGCAATTATTGAGAATTATAATATCTATATTAGCAAAACTCCAGAAATGCTCATGTTTGTAATTTCCGCTGTCGCAGAATATCGGTGCTTTAAACTTGACTTGCTGTTGTCGTTGTAGGTACGAACTGGTGAATATGAACACAACCGATTTGCCGAAATGGTACGCCGATTACAGTCCACTGGGAGACGTACCTGCGCTGCGCGTACCCGGGAAGGTTGGTCTGCTGTTCGATTCTGTGATTATTCCTGAGTACATCGACCAGAATTTTCCCACTGAGCCGAAGTTGTTGCCGAAAGATGAGTACGAAAAGGCTCCAGAAGGTCACCCTGAACGTTATTACGCGAAAGGTATGTAACGGTTGGCTCATTTCGTCGTTTCAGTATAAAACTGTACCCAGGTATTATCCAATCACATGATGAGTTTCGCTAACTGCAGTTTTGCCTTTTAATTTACGTAAGTATTATATCGATTTTTTTTAATCATTGTATAGGTTATCAGCAATTTGGAGGCTGTTGCTGCGAGAAACGAAAAAATCGACGAGCTCAAAAAGGGCCTGAAAGAGGTGGAAGAATCAATGACCGGGCAGTATTTCTGCGGTGAGCCTTGTGCAGATGTACGTACGCGTATGTACGATAATACTGATCACTGTTCACTGTCTTATCGCTTCAACTAGTAAGTACTTTTATTCATTGTCAGCTTTGTACGCTTTTATGTTCATGATGTTTGATTTTTCTTTTTCAAATTTTGCGACGAACATTCTTCGATTTGCTAGCTTTGGGAAGTGCGCATACAGATGCGGTCGATTTATTTGCATTCTCATAAGTAATATGAAAAACATAATATGTAAATACTACAGTCTCCAGCAGTAACGCAGGAAATTTTGATTTCTGGTGCCACGGTAGAATCAGGTTTGCTAACAGAACTGCACACAAGTAAGCGCAACCAAGTAAATTGTACAAGTTGTGTGTGCCAAATTTGTGCCGTTGTAAATCCATATGACTTTGCAGGCGACAAGATGGGTTTTGTGGACGTGATGATCTGGCCGTGGTTTGAGCGTATTGCTCCGGTGTGCGAAGTGCGCAGTGTCGTTCTGAAAGTGGAGCGCGATTATCCCAAACTGCACGCCTGGATGCAGAATATGCTGGCGGAACCAGACATCGCTAATGTCGTTTTTCCTCCGGGAATCATGGCGTCTTTTGTTAAGAGCGCCTACGTGGATGGTAGAGCTGATTACGATATCGCATTTTGAAACGACAGATCGGCGTCTAATTTTTTCGCTTTGTTTTATCGTTTGTTTGCCGGCCATTCATTTTGGAAGATTAATTACAAAGTTTTCTCATAACAAGTGATGGATCTTGCGGTTATGCGCTTTTTCTGACCGCGTCTTGTAATTCTGCTCACTGTTTAGATTTTACTGTGCTTCGCTGTGTTTGTGAGCGTTCCGGTTTACGGTATGCGGTTATCTGAATAGAAAACTCCTAGATTAGTTTATTTCATGTTCTGCAACTTTGTGTTACTGGAGTCAATGGTTGAATAAGATTATTCGAAGCGCTTTAGCAGTGTACTGTGGCTGATTGTAAGATTTTTGTTAGTAATTACAGTACGTTACGCTATTTCGTATTTTCTGCAGAAGATTAAATTTCATTATACTGGGTAACGGGTATACAGTCTATAACATATCTATTGACAACGCGGAAACTTCATTGTTGTGCACAAATTTCTAGAAAGTGCTTCATTTGTGAATCATGTATGATTAACTTAGTGAAATGCTAAAGCACATAAACACCGAAAGAAAAAAAACTGAACAATTATCGTGAAGATATTGCATGTTTTATTCACTCGTAAAGTCTCGTATTACCGATCGTTAAAAACTGTTACGAGAAAATTGCACAGCACCTACAAAAGCCAATTACCGTATTACGGTACTTCGGTATATAAGTAGAAATATTCGCAGAGAAAAACTAATTACTTACTCGTAAAAACTGCACAGAGTAGAACAATTTTACAAAAAATAATTGCCCGACGAAGTAATCAGTCAAAATATCAAAGTGCTGATAACACGAGGTGTAATTAATTGTATTAAAATAAGCGGAATACGTTGCTGATACTGAGTAAACAATAATAAAGCAATATGTGCATGCAAAACACACTTTAACACAGCGCAGTAAAGTAAGTACTTATGTTATGTTTGATGCTTACAGAAGCCGTTTCAACCTATAACTTCAACCATTATTTGCATCGTGCTTGGGATTTGGGCCATGTGTAGTTATTTTATATGTAGATGTTTTATATGTAGTTATTTTATATGTATTTTATTTTAACTTCAAGCAAAATGGCTGTGGTGCACTACATGTACGAGCGCAATCGTGCAGTAATTGTACGAGTGCAGTAAGTAAATAAAGCCGAATAATAAGCTGATAAAGGTCATATATGAATTGTCACAATACCAAAGTACGACTACTTATCATACGTACTTATGGGGATTGTACAGAAACAAAAAAAGCACAGATGCCTGTGATATCTGTATATATACGGTTTGTATTACAGTTCTATGCCGAAAGAACTGAAACAACAAGATACTGCGTAGTAGAATTTCCAGCAAAAAAGCATAGAAGTTGCGCGAGCCTTACCGTAAGACCCATAATCAGCCCATCGCAATATTGACTGAATAGTCCATTCAAAAACTCTTTTATACGTCGTACAAAGTAATCAATATCCAAATCCGTCGACCGCGATTCCGTTAATGTTAGTTTACCATCACCGCTGAAAATACAGGTCCTTATGACATTCAGATGTCATAACACTAAATTTGCTATACTTCGTACTGACATGGGAGAAGCTTGGAAAGAATCTCAACTCATGCGCCGGTCCGGGTCGGCAGTCCGTACCCCACAAACAACGAGCGTCTCTGACATCCCGGCAATTCCAAGGGATCGCGTGCGTCCAGAGTGCAGCTGCGGTGCATGTACTCAACGATCACACAGACTGCAGTCATCTCCGCATCAAAGACAAAGATATCCATGCAGATGGGCCGGGGTGGTGGTGAGTATATCATAAGCGGCACTCATATCAGGACGGTGATGCCGCGGTCCGGTGTCTGGGCCGTTGTGAAATCGGGAAAGGGATGCGGACAAGATAAGTGGTACGTTGACGGTGTCCACGGTAGGACTGGACATTGTCGGTTATTGGCAGTGCCGGCTGGTTTAGTTCCAGTCTGCTGATCTGTGGACAGACGATGGTGTAGGACCTGTGCGGGATGGTGATATCGGTACAGTAGGCCGCCGAAATTACGCGAATTAATCGCGGTTGACATCGCGTCCGAAGCTCACTCACTGCGGCACGGTAGGTGTATTTGATACAAACAGTACATTGAGCTGATGCAAAATAACTACGCAGTGTTATAGTCGTGAGCAAAATCAAAATTATGAACCAAAATTCATAATAAAAATTTTTCAATCACAGTATCGGTAATGTTATAATATTACCGATACTGTGAGTGAAAACTTTTTTTTACCAATGATATGTTACAAGTGGTATTTCTCATCGGAGATGGCAGACGCTGTACTATACTTAACTACTCGTAACAAACATAAGTTGATGGGGAATGACTTTAATCCAAAAATCCAACTGAGAAGAGCGCCTTTTTGGCAGCGACGCAGCGCTGCTTTTATGCTACTTTGTAGAACATTTGGGCAGTAGTTTGCATTAGCAAATTTTAGCAAATCTAATGAGCGCAGAACAATGTAATATCAATATTATCCTGAGAATAAATCAACAATATGGCGTGGAATGGGTGTGATAACAGAAATTTAAGCATACAATGATACTTTGTATTATCCGAGTAAGTATTGTACATAATACATACGAATAACACCGGAAATGGCTACTGTCACCCCCCGCACCCCCTTTGACTATTGTCACCCCTTTGTTTTAATAAAATAAACACCCCCTTTGGCTGTGGTCACTCTTGACCATACGCCTTATTTTTGGCTACTGCTACCACGTTTCAATTTATTGCTTATAATTTTGCCACCAACGACTCTTTTTCGATTTTATTTATGCCACCACTGTGAGAGAAGGTATTACTTTGTATGGTTGGTCACGCAGTGCAGCAGCACCGGCGAGGCATCCAGGGAGGACGACGGACTGGCCCGCGACTTGAGATTGATCTGTTCGACATTCTCCGGATCATCCTTCCCGTTGCCGTTCTCCGATCCATTTCAAGGCGCCTTATTGGCCGCCGCCGCCAGCTGTCGTTTCAGATCCTTCATAGTGCCATGATACGCCCAGAAGAGGAGGCACTTCTCATTCTGCGAGTCCTCATACTCCAACCTGCGTCGCGCTCTTCCAGCTGCAGGCGTTGGAGATTCTCGGCGTAGTTGACGCGGGAGAACCGCTCGGCTTCCAGCTGGGTGTTCAGGAGGTCATGGTCGCTGGACACGCGCGCCGATCGCGACAGGAGATGGGCGTGGCCGGTTTGCAGCGCGGCATAAGGAACTTGCCTGTAGGGAATCTAACTAATACAAATTATTAAAATTCTGTTAAGATTTAGATTACGCAAATCTTATGTGTCAAAGTTCATAATCGGCTTCACGCACTTATTTTCCGAGATTTTTTCACATCAAACATTGTATTATTTATTTGATTCGTCTTAACTGTACAAAACTACTAGGAAACTAACTACTTAATACTATAAAGGTCATCCATTTGAATGATAACAAAATTTAATGTAATAATGATAAATTTATACCATATAGAATCAATAGGACAGGCTGGGTCAAAAGTACTCCATAAACAGCGTTTGGTCCAGGCATCCCGGACCCCCAGTTACCCGGTAACTGGTCAGTAATTCGAGGGGATCGTGTGTTCTGGTGGAAAGGGCTATCGTACCGTCCAATGCCCTGCTCAAGCGTGTTGTTGCATCACATCACATCACAGCGCTTCTGCCTGAAGGGTTCTGGGGAATAAAGCTGTCTTGTGTTACAATATACGTACAAACAATATGAAATACAACGTAACAATAACGCCTCTGGAGGAGGGCCATTGCCGTTACTCTACATCTAAGAGTACGAAATGAAGAATGTTCATTCATTCCTCTCGTACTCCTAGAGCACTACAATGGCCGTAGGGCACTACACCGGCTGGTCATCTCCGTTTCGCAGGCAAAAGTCGTTATGTAAATTATTATGTATCCATATTCCATGCAAACTCTCCTATTGCCACTAGTCATACTCTCCTATTGCCACTAGTGTAGTTCTGTATACCCAGTTTATAATTTTTTGGTAAGACCGTAAGAGACACCAACAGTCCGATTTCGATCCTTGCTTAAAAAATCTTACAATAATTGCTAATGCATTTGAGCATTTCACTCATTTGCTAATAAATTAAACGAATTAATTGATTTAATTCCTGAAACTGGCTCTGATCACAGGAAACGCAGAGGCTGGATTCATGCTTTTCTGTTTTCCTTGACATAGAAAAAGGTTTTCTGTTTTACGAAGAAAACATTTCGAACAATTTTTTTCTGTGTCGACTTTGTACACATTTTTTGTTTATAAAATGTGGTTTAAATGCGGTTATTGTATCAGTTCTCGCGCACATACGCCGAAAATCTGTTTCCAGTTCTTCCCCCGTTCTCATGATTCGAAATAAAGCACATTCGGTGCAATTGTGTTTGTACGCGTTCATAATTCTTAATTACGTTATGACGCTAGCGCGACCGAAACTTGTATAATTACTTGTACTACGACACTGTGATGATACTGTCATTTGTGAAACTTTTCGTTTCAACAAAAGTTTTCTGAAGTATTACAGTACTAACCTAATTACTACAATAATATTATATGCCGCTAAAGTATAATGATTATGCTATACATCACTGCCCACATTGATCGCCATGGGTCGAAGGCAAAACATTTCTGTTTTCGTAAATGATTTTGATTTTCCAAAACATATGCCAAAACAGATGAAACATTTTCAAAACAGATGACTTTTTCGAAAATGTGTAGCATGATCCTTACTTTCTGTGTGGAAGCCCACAGAAAATCTTTTTTCCTTATATGTACTCATACATTTTCACCTGTTTCACATTTTTCCACTGTTTTGGGGAAACAGGTAAGTATATATACTATATAGATATA